CAGCAGCTTGTCTGCATCAAAGTTCAATCACTTCTTCACTTCCATCGCCGGCAAACTGTGTGAACGTTTTCGACTAAGCACTTTCATAAAACCACAAACACCCAGAGTAAACAAAAACTTTTCTATGGAAGAAGTGAACGAAAAGTTTGTCTGTGACGAACTGAAGAGACTTAAATCAAAGAAAACCACTGGTCTAGATGGAATGTCTGCAAGACTTTTAAAGGATGCAGCTCCTGTGATAGCGAAACCCATTACCTATATCATAAATTTGACTATTTCAACTGGTGAAATTCCACCAGATCTCACTGATCAGATTTTGGAACACATGGATAAACAGCAAATGACTGGCTCTGTCTTCATTGACCTAAAGAAAATGGGATTTTTGTCTAATCGATTGCCACTAATTCACTTTCGCCATGAAAACGGGATTCTCCCTAATCGATTTCCCCTTATTCACTTTCGCCATCAATACGGGGTTTTCCCCTAAACGAAATTATCTTGAAATTATAAACCTGCCACCGAAAGAGATCGTTTCTGGCATAGAACTTTCAACTGATCACTATGATTTGTTGTCACAGGTATTCAAGAATGTTTTCATAGAAAAATTCCCTTGACCCTTATACATGTACAGCTACGAGTCTCGAAACTCTCCAGAAAAGCTTTTCTCGGAACTGATGGTTGTTTTCTGATGATTCAAAAGCGAAATTCTCACCAGATGATTTTTTCAATCTCAAAATTTTTCAATATTCTCGATTCGTGAAGGTTAAGTTACGATCTTTTTTCTAGATTTGCGAGAAACCCTGTTTGCGAAATAATTGATTTGTATGGTGATGGGAGAAACGGTTAATCCTTGCGGTCTTTTCTGAGTTGTTTTCTGACAAGTTATCCTCAGAATCTTTCCCTCTCTTAACGCCTGGGGGGAGGGGAGGGCGAAGGACTTTGGGATCAGATGGTTTTCAAGGGGAGGACAGGGGGATTGGTCGTCAGAGTACAAAGGGGAACTATACAAAATTGACTGCTAAATAACTGTCAACTTAGTGGCGGAGTGGGGAACAAGACTAATAGAGAGCTTTTTGGTAAATTGTATCGTGACGCAACTAAAATCTTCCGACCCCCCACCCCACCCCTCCAAGTGATAAAAATTGACCTTATCCTAACTTCCTTCTCAAGCCATGGGTAGTTGATTCGTCTTCATCAAATTGGAGGTACAGTAACAAACCTTCAGCCTCAGGATTTACAAAAGTTTTATCATTTTATGTTTTCAGTATCAGCTTTAGCCGCATTCATTTTGAAAGTTTACAGCAATATGGCTAGTTCTGGAATTAAAGCTGAAGTTTCTAACGACGTAACTGATGGCAAAGCTGTTAGACACAATCCAAGCGTAAAAGGCCCTCAACTCGAGGTGAATTCTTAAAAATATATCAGATCAATGTGAAATGGACCGAGACAGCAGCGGCGCTGGCATAATTATTTCCTCTCGACCTGTGCGAGTGGCTGAACTGGGAGAGAGGGATTACCTTTTGTCTAGTAGTTAAAGCGCTTTTCGAATGGAAAATACGTCTAAGAGCCCCTAAGAACTCAAAGTAAAAGCAACCAAACTGCCTAAAGCGCGGGAAAACGCGGGCGTCTAAGTCGTGCTTGGTTTTCCAGTTTTACATCTGATTGGTTGAGAAAGTGGCGCGAGTTTTTTGGACCAATCATAGCGAGGTAAAGAAAAACCAAAGCAATCCAGGATAAGTTTCAAAAAACGCAGTTGATAATCACTCCTGTAGGAAAAAGAAAAAACTCAGTTAAGTGGCTTGTTGACACGCTGTATACTCTGTGTAATAAGCTTCTCTAATTATTGAACCTGCAGGCATCTGCAGCCAAAGGAGATTTCACCATTCTCATTCTGGGAGAAACTGGAGTGGGCAAGTCCACGTGGATTAATGGTATTGCCAACTATGCAAAACACGAGTCTCTTGAAGATGCCATGAAAGACCCTGATTTTACCATCTTGATACCATCTAGGTAAAAATATTTGAAAGAGAGTCAGTGCTGATTATTGGGTGACGATCCTCTCCAGGAAGGTTAAGGTATACATATTTTATTATTTTGTTAGGTTTACTTTCACGAATGAAAATGGAGAAGAGAAGGACATCGCCTTTGGGTCTGCTGATGATAATGAAGTTCTCTCCAGTGGTCAGTCTGCTACCCAATTCTCTCAGGAGTACAGAATTGAGACGAATACCACGATCTTCCACCTTATTGACACTCCGGGCATTGGGGACTGTAGAGGCATTGAGAAGGACAAGGAGAACTTCGATAACATCTTGGCCTTTCTTACTTGCTATGACAAAATCAACGCCGTGGTTGTGCTTCTCAAGCCAAACAACGCAAGGTTGACAGTGGCGTTTAAGTTTTGCGTCTTGGAACTGCTGACTCACCTCCACAAGTCCTTGGTTTCCAACATCATGTTTGCCTTTACCAACTCCAGGGGCACCTTTTACAGACCAGGAGACAGCCTTCCAGTACTCAAAAAGCTCCTCGATCAAAATAGTATCGGAATAGATGTTTCTCCTTCAAATTATTTTTGTTTTGACAACGAAGCTTTCAGGTAATTTGGTGTTTACCTAGCGTAAAGAAGCATATTCTCGATATTTGGAGTCAATTTTTGCGCCGTGTAAAACTACCTTCAATTAACAAACTTCCTTTTATTTTACTTCAAACTGGTAGTTCAGTAAAACAGAAAAGAACATAAAAGAACATAAAAGAATGGAGAATATTAAAGTGAGCAGCAGATACGAAATTGAGAGTAAGCTGAATATTTCAAGATGGACCATTGAGTCGACTTTATTCTCTCGTTTATTGCGAAAATTCGCACGTTTTCTTAAAACAGATCATCAGAATTTACTTTAGTCCATATAGTGGAATCGAGCCAGATTATTATTATCATTTTTTATTACACGACTCGGGCAGTCAGAGGGCCAATAACTAAAATCAACCAATCAAAATGCTCTATTGCCGGTCAATATTCTTTCAGTATTGGACCGGGCACTGTCCCGAATGGTCCCGAATGATACCGCACTTGTGTCCCTTTGAACTTCAGTCGTGTAATAAATCTCTTATTAACCAAGCTTGCTCGGGACCGTACTGGAAGAATATCGGCCCTCGGTCTTTTTTGTACGGACCTCGCTGCGCTCGGTCCGTACTGTCAAGACCTCGGGCCGATATTCTCCCAGTACGGCCCTCGCGCTTGGTTAATAAGATATAT